ATTTTCTCACAACACTACACAAAGTTATGTTTATTTGTATGATATTTACTTGTGAATTTAAATTCGAATGTTTATATCTCAATATTTGTTTTATCTTTGAAATGTAAGTTATATTTGGAATTGATTTTATGTAATTCTCTGAACTATTCAGTTATTATAAAAATGAAGATAAATAATGCAGAATCAGTGGTTAATTAATGAATAATCTTATTAGCGAAAGTGAATATTCGTCACGCGGGTAACTGTACGACGTGCAGTCGAAGTCGAAAGAACGTTAGTCAAGCCATTAATTTGTCGCGGTGAAGTTACGATCGCGGAACTTCCTCGTCGGGCTTACATTGCGAGAAACTTACGGTGCTACTTGCCGCGGCGAATGTATAATCGCCGATTACCCTAACAAGTACGTGGTGGTGCATTGAGGCGACTAATTAAGCGATTATAGCATCTTGGGCGAGCTAACGAGTGTTAATCCACAGGCGAGTCGTGCCTGTGGGAGCTCAGAGGGTCAACTTGCCGCACGCCTAGCCGAGCACGACGACGAGTTTTCTCTTATCAATATACTTGTAGAAAATTCCATATCGCGCACGCTGAAGATACTACACTTCTCTTGTTCGATCATGTAATTGTGTACACACAATACGCAATTTCGCTCTCTTCTCGTTTCCGAGAAACGTTTCATATAACTTAGCTTTTACGGGATAGTATAACTAACGGTTCCATAGACGCGTAAAGTAGGAGAAAGAAAAAAATGGCAAGAAAGGAAAGATTATTTCAATCCTTTTCACACCTTTGCAGCTTTCTCTTTAATATTTACCGATAATAAGAACCAACATCAAATTATATTAGAAAACGTGTGAAATGTATTGTTAAAAAAATATATATGTCGTCTTTCTTGACATTATTTCTTGATGAAATCGTTTTCTGTCCTATATATTCTCGAGCTTTATCGTTATGGGGGAATTCGGATTCGAATCCCATAGCTGAAGCAATATTTTTCGCAATAAACTGTTCGCAGGTTTAACATCCCTATTAACATAAGATTGTTAATATTTTTATGAAAATGTTTATTAGCGTTAAAAATTATTAAATTGTTTGTCAATTTAATTTGTGATATTACTACTTTGGTTCTATTTGTGATTGCGTTTCAAGATGAAAAAGATTTTTATGCGCGATTTGCAATAATCACAGATACGCAGGTATATATAATTTTACACAGAAATATTTAACCATTAAGGTCTGCTTCGATTGAAAAATAGGATTTCTCTTATCTAATTAGATTTTTTCATCGTTAAATTAATTTCTGTAATTTAATAAAAATAAGTATATATTTTTATCTGTAAAAGAGAGTAAAGTTTCAGGACGTCTATACAAACCAATTCATAAAGAAAATACAATATATTAAAACGCGGCGTATAATTTGAACATTTACAGCACGACTGAAAATTATTATTTCCAGAGAATTATTCGATAATTCGTTCAGCCAAATAATTAAGTAATTAACTCTAAATGTCTCTGAAATACATCGAGTATCAATCTGCGATTAAATCGCGATTGTATTACAGACCGACAATTCCGACCAGTCCGCAATATCCGTTGCAGCAAAATCGAGGATAATAACTCATGAAGTGAATTACGCATTACGGCCAGGCGTTGTCCATCTCGCGATCGATGCAACGACGTTTTCATTTTAATAGAAATTGATTGGCGAAGAGCCGCGAGAGAACAAGTAGGAAGTTAAGGAGATGAAAAGAGAGAGGCAGGGTAGAAGAGGGGCGGCAAATGCGGCCATGTAATTAGAAATCACGGGGATTTACGGGGCATCGTGCAATAAATCCAAAAAGTAACGGCTAATGGCACGCATATTGACGTATCCATCTGGCTATCGTTCATCTTTCTCACGAGTCCCACACCATGCGCACGCCCCGTAAACGCGACGCGCGCCTCGCGGCTACTCCGCGCGAGCGGCTCGCTCTCGCTCGCGCGGAGAAGACGAGACGAAAGAATCGACGCCTCCAGAGTGAACTACGGGGCTTTCTTCTCGCGGTGGGGGAGGGAGAGGAGACGTCGCGCCGACCATAAGCACGCTTGATTTACGTTAAAAGCCGAGCTGGGTCCGCGTTGAGTCTTTATCGGGTAGGAGTGAGACGATGATGATGAACGATCGGCGATTTGTAGAGGCGATCGGCGAATGCGCGCATATGCGAAACGGATATGTGTATGCGCCCGAGCGAATCTGCTGATCATCTGCAACCCGTGGCCGATATTCCGAGTGCACAAAACGTAGCTTTGAGAACATCGCTTTATGTCGGTAGAAAAATGCCAATCGCACAATCGTCTTTCAGATCAGTTCGTTACGTGTGGTATACAATCGTATTAATTATCCGTTCTTTGATAACGCCTTTATATGTTATAGCTATAAATTTTCGTTATGTATCACATTGGAAGTAATGGAAATGAAATTCCAAATTTTTATTCGAGCCAAGTTAATTTATAATAAGATTATCTAAAAAGAGACTAATTATGTAAAAAAAATTTAAGATTGATTAAAAAGTTAATCAAGATTTTATTATTTGTATACTGATTTTGAATTTATATACAGCTCCCTAATTTTTGGCATTAAATAGTATTTATTGAGAGACAAATTATTTTATCAATTGAATACGTTTATATATTCCACCATATCGTTCTGTATACTATCGAATTCTGTCCCATTAATGTCACCATCTATAACAACAGTGCCTGAATATGTTGCACTGCGAGGCGGTAATTCTCCATCGAGGCAGGCACAGTCCGGATTAACGTCTTCATTCCGAGAGAAACCCCTCGCTTGCGCATGGTGCACCGGTAATCGATCGGTTATGGTAATTCGAGCGAACGTCGAGCGCGATCGTTAAAAAAGCTGCGCGCCCACTGTTGGTGGTTGCGGTACTCGATGCAGCCACTACGCACTAGTGGCGATAAGCGGTCACGATGCGTGCAGTTCGATTAACGCAACAACGAGTGCGTGAGCGGTCGTTCGTCGTGCATGAAAAGGGAGAAAACCGCCCACGCGGTCTACTTGCGATCGCGAAGGCGATACGCCCGATTCGAGAAATCTATTTTGACGTACTTGTAGAACGATCGACACTTTATCCGTTAACGTTGTAACTAGACTATAATCTATATCATTACGGCACTTAAATTATCAAGACGTCAGAAATGAATTTCTGCTGTTACACATATTGTGAAGTACTGTTTATTTACAGTTTAATGTAGCTACATATAATTTTTATCGACGGTTTATTTCTACTAATATTAATAATACAGTACAAATGTTGCTTTATCATGATGTATTATAACGTATACATATGATAGTTTTATATAATCATGTATAACACATTTGTGTTCCATTCAAATAACACAAAGTCAATATGCCGTACTTGAAATATGTTATTGATACACATTAGAAATCGGACTTTAGATATATATTGGCAAATCATGTCGCGTTATAAGTAATTTATCATATCTCAAGAACTGTTTGTAATTACAGGATAGAATATCATAGAATGATTGAACGATAAATAATAATAATGATGATGAAAGTTATTATTTGAAAAAACTAAAACAACTCTTTATACTATTTTCACTGTTATTTGAGTTAGCTGTGGTAACTATAAATTAAACTCTAGACAAGAAATTGAGCAATTAATTAAAGCTTTTTTTTATGCAAAGAAAATGAGTAGATATAGCAAACTGAGTTCTGAGGATATTTAAAAGTTAAGATTAGCTGTTTGTCAGTCATTATACATTTTTATTGCGTTTTTGCATAATTAATTGAATAATACCTGTCATTATTTACGTCTTAGGCGAATACATTTGAAAGTGCTTTAAAGTACTATGTGTGTACTTATAAAGCACAGAACGATGTCCTCGTCTCGTAGAACTCTACACCTCAGTAAGAAATTATGTATTGATTTTTCTTAGCTTGTGTTTATAATGCGATTTACTTATATCTAAATGCTATATCTATCAATATAAAGGAATGAAGTCTTTTATTTTGCGTATAATTTACAAAAATATGAATCTAATTTCAAATTTTATGAATTTGTAGACGACAGAAAAATAATTAATACTGATTGTGAGTCTACATTATTTTTAAATTATTCCTGTTGATTTTTATGCTGTCTTTGAATATTTTATTCTTTTATGCAGCAAAATGTCTCCAGTAAAATATGTCTCTAAACTTCTGTCTGTCGATTTCTTTAAATATATTTTTATTTACTATTTGTAGGCAATAAATGCGAAATCATTTGGCAATTAACATTCGTGATATTTATTTGTAGAATTTGTTTTATATACATATTATTATATTCTCAAACGCAGATCATCTTTATGTAATGTTTAAAGGCGTCGGCTGTATTTAATGATCAGTAGTGTATAGTTGGGTTACGACCCCGACGTCACGATTCGCAATAACACGGATGAAAACGAACTGTTACTCGGTATTATCTATTACGATCACGGAATTGTTTGTAATGTCACTGCTGGTACATTTCACCCCGTAGCTAAGAGACCTTATTCAAAGATGACCTACTCTCCTGAGGTAGATACAACTAAAAGGATGTCATTTAATAATTTATGCTGGATAGAAAGATTGCAATCGGCAATCGCTCATCGTAAATCGAATCATGCTCTGTAATCAGCCACGCTGGCCAACGTTTTCTGCACTGTTGAGACAATTCATGTTGCGCCATCGCACGTATTTGCTATATAATATAAACGCGCGAAGAAATAACACGCTATTGTACGGAAAAATTATTTTTTAGAGATTTGCAACTCTTTAAAGATTTGCATCTTTTTTTAGATGCAAGAGTTTAACATTATGATACAATCGTGTAATTTTGATGTTACACGTGCATCTTTAAGATATTTTTATGTATAGACAAATTGCTGTTCAATTTCCATGATAATAATTTCGAATAAGACATATTAACGAAAATTGTTCTAATTGTTTGTTGCAGGATACTCGGACGTTATCGGGAGACCGGTTATCGAATTTGAGGACAATGCATCCACGAGGGAAGCCCTTTCCGTTAGAGAGACGTCGTCTTTTCTCCTCTACCTCGCTCGTCTACCCAAGTATGTATTCGTCGCATAATGCATCAACTTGGTGCATACGTCGAGATCAGGCCATACGGCCCGCAGTTGCGGGGTAGCAATAAATCAATCGGGATTATCGCGAGATCAGTCGCGCGTGCGAGGCTCGTTGAACCATACCATAATTTATGAATTCGATTAGCGGGCGACGCGGCCGCGATAATTTTTACGAAGGGCGTTTTTAACTCGCAAGAAAATTCACACTTTACGGCCGCGGCATACTGGCGCGAGACACCCATTTATTACGCCGGCATCTGTACTCCTCAACGAGGCTGTTGTAGCCGATAATAACTGAAATCATCCGACTCCGAATTGGCAATTTATTAGTCCCGGCTGGGCGAGAAGGAAGGAGCGCGCGTGAGCTTTCCGTTAAATAAACGTGATCGACGCCGATGTTGGTAATAATTATAATTTTCCACCGTCATGAAGTCGCGGGCACGCCCACTATAATCGTCGATACGGAGCAGAGTCGCGGCTTACCGTTCTTTCCAACTTGACCGCATCTCATCCTACAAGCTCTCTAGTGAAGCTTCTCTAGTTTGTAAGCTATTCAATTAACACGCTTACGACGTGCCCACCGACAGAACGCTTTCTAATATCGGTGCAGCGGCGATTAAACACCGTGAGAATCGAATCGGAGCGAATCAACACCGATTCGATTACGGAAAACGATTTTTCGTATTGCACATCTAATATTCAATTGTCAATATTTTTATTGTATATTTATTAATATTATTAATTAATTGAAACACACACACAACATTAATATCTAAATCTACTTAATTAATGATATATGTGTGCAAGATCTCTATTTATTTAGAAAATATCTGTTTGAGAGAGGGGAGCGTCTAATTGAGTTTTATTTTAATATAAAGGATTGAGAAAGAGAATTGAAGAAAATTTATATCTTTATCTCTTAAAGAAAAAAGTACATTTATATCATTTATACATTGAATATTTTGTTAGACCATAAAATTATATAGGCGCTTAAACTGATTGCTAGAATGTCGAAACTTTTACAGCATTGCTCTCATCGTTCTTGAGTTTCCTACATAATTTTGATAATCTAGCAAAATTATATTTTCAGATTTATGACTAGCTAAATTTTTAGATACCTGAGCAAAGTTTATCCTCTCCATGTATCATTTTACTTCTCAGATATAGATTCTTTTCATTGCGCATTGGTTTTCAATGCATTTGCATCTCTCGTTGTTCGTGATAATCGCGCTGTCATTCCGCGATTCTGCGACCGCATTCGCATACTCTCCAGCTCGTAAAACACATCACGCATGATAGCCACGCCGATACGGTCATCACGCGGCTTTATGATTTTCCGTGCAACCGGTAACCGAACTCTCATCGTATGCTTCGTCGGGATGAAGCATACGAGCGGGAGAATAGTATCGGGACGGCGCGGCGGCAGCGGGAAGAACGGGATGGAAAACGAAGAGCGAGAAAAGCGCGCGCTATTACGCTCGGGGCGTCTCTCGGCAAGAAACACGCCGATCTATCTTTCGGCATCTTCGACGCGAGCGAGCCAGCGTCGTTTCCGCGTCGGCGACTCTTCCCCGCCGGCTTGAGAAAAAGTGGCGGAAAATTTCCGCGATTTCATCGACGCTGTCTTTCGCCGCGTCATGTCGGTATACCGCCTTTCATCGGGTATCCTGGCGCGAGGTTTAATTCACGCAGCCTGAGATCAGCCGGCCCCGTGGGCTTCTCAGATCGCGATATATCTCGATATGTGAGGATAATTAAAGGGGTCTTTCTGGAAAAGCGTTGCGAGATCGCGCTGCCGCTTTCAAACTTCACGAGAATTAATACGAATGTATGAGAAGAGAGAAAGATCACCGTAATGAGACATATCCTGGCTGACTGACGATTTCCCATATCGATACTGCAAAGTAAACGCGTTAGCGATACCGAAACTCGCGTAAACGACCTATCGCTCGTGTTCCCAGGACTATCCAGGTCGAAGCGATACTTCTAATTTATCGCAGCCGAGTTATCATCTCGCGTGGCCACAATACGCATTGTTACATGTCGATATCTTTCGTTGCCGGAAGAAAAGCAGGCAGACACGGGAGCGTGCATTTGCCGCTCGCACACGCGAGCTAATCTCGAGAGGGGCGCCGTGGAATCCGCGACGAAAGCCGACGGTGTCATAATGATCCTCTGAGCGGAACACGATCGCCATAAATCAGCGTGCCGGTTATATACAACGCAGTGTACAGCGCGCGAGATTCATTAGCATTTTTCCGTGGTAGTAGTGGGAAAGCGAGGAACGACGTTGACATAGCGCCTAGCTGGGCTATCGGTGGCAGATTACTCGCGGATAAGCACGGCGGATGCAGATTTATTGCGCTACCGAGCAAAACGACGAAACGTCTGGGAACTTGGCGTGAAACTGACCCCGGAATTTCCACGTGCACGTAAACGCATACGCAACTTTACGCTTACCGCGTTATCGTGCCGTGTAATATCTCGACTTGACGAGATACGGCGCGGCGCGGCACTCTTTCATCTCATCGCGTAATCTACGGGAAATCGTTTAATCGATGGACGGATCACGCGTGATCGATGGATAATCAGGTATATGGAACTATTTTAAAATTAGCCGCAGATTTATACTGCGTTGTATGTTGGACGTTACATTCAACGTGTACAAATTTGTGGTATTTTGATACCGCGGCGATTATCGAAATCTTTTACATTACAGAGAAATGTGTTGCGTAAAAACGTTTATTATTTCTCTAAATTCTTTGAAATGAAATTTCACTGTAAAGAGTGAAATTTGGGTTACTTTTGAAAAAAGGTTAAATTTTCAATCCTTAAGAGTAAAATTTCACTCGAGAGAGAGAGAGAGAGAGAGAGAGAGAGAGAGAGAGAGAGAGAGAGAGAAAGATATGCTCTAAAAATTTTAGAGAGTTCGGTTGCCACCTTCTCTGCCGGAAATCCTCTATCATATCGAAGATCGATTGCCACTATTAAAATTGTTACTGTCTTGTAGTGCATTCTCTGAAAGAAGATTATCAGATCTTTTCCATTAGCCAAGGAACTAAAGACTCATCAAAAAGCTGGAATCTCCGGCTGAAATCCAGAAATAAGGGGTGACAACTGTGATGTTTACTTCTAATTTAACTAGTTATTAATATTTGTCTCAAGGTTTTCACTTTCGTGTTGTTTCCTAGATCCGGTGAAACCTGTCTTGCACGTAGATCAGGTAAAATATTAACTGCGCTCTGATCACGCCTTAGTTTCGCGCGAATTGAAGGTGAAATGGCGAAAGCGTAGTGTGTACTCCGTTATCGCGCATTAAGTGCACTCATCGTATATGTCCGCAGGTATCGAAGAAGTTTATTGGCTAATTGAAATTCGCCGATAGAAATACGGTGGGTGGCTTGTCGGTTGATCGACCGCGTGTTTCCGTTTTGATTGTACTTCCTGGATTTGCATTTATATTTGCATATATTTGCATAGCTGGTATTATGAGTAAATATTGCCTGTGCTTCGTACACAACTTATCATTTCATAAGCTTTGATCTTCTTGGTTTCCGAGAGATATCTTGTTTATCGGAGTACGTACAATATAACGGCTCTTGTTAAGAAAGATATCAATTGTGCAACATACAATATTTTTACTCTGTTTGCAATCTGGGTCTTTTTTGTACCCAAATTTTTTTACTGTTCAAGGCTATTTGAAAAAATATGGAAAAATTCAGAGTTATTTTTTAACATTTCTCTATTATATTATATCAAATAGTTTTTTTTTTTAAAAAAAACCTCCAAATTGACGTTTGAATAAAATTAAAAAAGAAAGAGGTTTCGCTTATGCTAAAAAATATTATATCAAGAATACAGATGATAGATGAAAAGTGATGGTTAAAAAGTTACAAATAACAATTTATTTTAATTAATTATAATTATATATAATATTAATAAATAAATTTATTTATTTTGAGTTATTTTTTTAATTCTTTAAATAGATTCTTGAAATAATTGATTGAATTGCAGCATCATGTATCTTTCTACGTGCTAAGTGAATTTTAAATTGTTATCGAACAATGTCAAAAGAAGATGATCAATTGGTGTTTATTATAAGAGATAAGTTGATGGCAAATGATTAAATCTGCGATCTTAAGAATCTACACGTGTAACGGGTCCATGCAACTTTCTTAATTCGAGATTGTCATAGTGTGAAGTAACAAGTCATGTTTCACCGCAGTGGCTTTTGCAGTGGCCGTCTTGAAAGCTTATATCTCACACGAGAGAAATATATTAAGCGTCAAGCGAGACTCCCGCGGTTTGCGTTACGCGTAATAACTTGATTGGTCGCGGTGAAAGGTCGAATCACCAAAAGTAATTCGCGAATGCATCGCCGGGCGAAATTGACCTCGACTCGTCTTTCACCGTTAACTCGCATCGCCGGTTTGTCCGGCGATGAATCGGAGCTTTGATCGTTATATTAAGGAGAAGGGTGAGAAATTGACTGACGGATACCCGCGCAAAAATGTAAACGGTGTAAGTGCACTCGTAATGATGCGCCTTATTAACGCAATTTTATTCATTCATAAATTTGTAATATAATTATACGTGTCAGGGTAAAAAAATTGTCTAGACAATTTTTTCCTTCTTCCTACTCGAAAAACGTATGTAATGTAATTAAGTTAATCCGACAAAGACAAGAATCTTGTTTCCTCTTTACTGTCGAAATGAGATGCATTTAAATTATACAAATAAAAATAGTTTTAAATACAGTGTTTCAAATGTGGACGTCAAAAACAATTGCTTGAGCGATATTATAATTAGAACTGAAAAAAAGGGAAAAATTATGATATGAACATAATAGGTCTAAAAATGCGTTTATTGAGACAAATAATTGGTTTAATTAAATGGAATTCTGATTGAAAATAGATAAATTGAAATTTTTTGGTTAAATCTATTAGAATTCTAGTTGAGATAACTGGATTAATACACTATCAGAA